TTACTCAGAGGTACAGGGGGTAGTACACATATACAAAATGCGTAATGTCTAGATTAAACTGTTTTGAAGGGGGATCTGAACCCAGCAGGGAATTTGAACTCAAGACATACTGAGCAGCAGCTCAAAGTACTCTGCACTGAGAATCATGGCATCTTCTGTTGACACCTTTTCCATTTCTGCGAATAGCTATTAATCAAATCTCTGACTCAGTGGTGACCCAGTTACTACAATGCAACCTGAAGGACATTGCCCTAAATTGCAGAAGACACTTGGAATGCATACACATATGCACGCAGACATTTGCACACACAGCATTGCATAAGAAAAATGTAGCTAGCTGCACATGAACTGGTGAACATGTATGGAAGCTCTGCAAATCAAGCCCAAAGCGCTGGTCTGTCTCCCAGAACCACCACTACTGCAGTAGAATGGTGCTGAACAATCCTCCCTCTCTGCAAAGCTGACTAGACCAGTTGGAGGTGGCAGGCTTCTGGCCCTAAAGCTAGACACAGAGTGGCTGTCTCAGCCCAGTGCTTCCTAACTCCTCTCATCTTTAGTGCTTCTTTCAGTTTCTTATGTTAAATCCTGTCATAAACTTAAATTTCATGCATTGTAGTGGAGTACACAATTGTTTCATGAAAGACAGATGCCACCAATAAATACATTTCTCCAGTCTCAATGGTCTGAAAAACTAGATGTGATTTCAAAATTAGTTTTTAAGATAGTCAATCCCCCATTCTGGAGCCTTTACTATTCTCCGGTTGATTTTCTTCCATAATTTCTAATTGTGAGCAAGTACAAAAGTAACATTTAGGAGAGAAAGAAAGATCTAAACAAGTGACTTGAAAAGTTGTCTTTATTTTGCAAACATACTTTTGTGTACTTACACAATTAAATAACCAGTGAAGATATCTGAGATGATTTTGTAGGCTTTGAAGGTTTGCATGAAGTCAAATATTTTTCCAACTTTCCTCATATGAAAGCAACAGGCATTTTTCACTGCTGCAGCAAGTGTACTTCACCAATGGAAATGATATGCTTTATCCTCAAATTCAATGCATGAATATGTATAAAAATATTCTTATTGTCAGTGCAAGAGTGGGGGGAATGTGAGTAAGATTCTTTACAAGGTTGGCAAGATTGGGGTAGGAAATAGCTTCCATAAATCAGGAGACCAAGTACAGTTCTTCAGCTTGGAAAGAGAGGTGAGGAAGGTTATAAGAGAAGTCTGCGTTGTGAGTGGCATGAAAGAGTTTCCTACAGGATGGTTAGTAGTAATATATAACAAAACGAATCAAGTCATCAGATAACAAGTCTAGAACAAATAAGAGGAAGTTCTGTTTCACACAGTGCATAATTAGAGTATTAATTAGTACATAACTGGAGTGAAATTCACCACCACAAAACTGTGAAGACAACAAAACTACACACACACTGAAAGCCGCACTGGGAAAATGGTAATCTACAGGTCTTTAAAGACAGTGGTCCTGTTGCTTTTCAAGTTAAGATGGTCTCAGAAGCACAACGGTATCAATTCCTCGGAGCCCAGCTCCACTCCAAGAGCCACTATGACTGGAATTAATACATGGTGGAGCCACATCTTCCTTATTGGTTTCCCCTCCAAGTCAGATAACTAGCAGCCTCAATCAGTAGCAGACACCTTCTTTGTTTACCCTGAACACATCCCCATTTCCCATTCCTGCTTGCTTCTCTCTTTCCTACGTGGGAAGGGGTGAAGTGGCACCTGGAGGATTGGTTGGGGTGTCTAATGCCGGGAGTCCTCCAGGGAGATAGGCGACAGTGCCTTGCTTGCTGGATGGGCAAAGGATGGTCTGCAATTAAGAAAGTGAACACAGAGGGAGTGCAGTGGGAGTGAGGGGAAGGATCTGACTGGGCAGGAACAAAGCAAGCATCATTCCAAGGAACGGGACCCACCTCAAAATATTTATCCCTAAATGTTTGCTTTGCAGAGGATGGTCTTGCAGCTGAGAGTTATAGTTAACAAAAAAACGAAAACAAAAACAACAAAAAAGCTTATCTCAAGTGAAGGATTATAATTATTTGCTCATTATCTGAAACTTATTTTGTTCTTTGCCTTCACTTCAGGTGAAATTGCAGTCCAGCGTTCAGCGACATAACAAATGGGTGATGCAACCATCATGGGCAATTATTCATTGTGACCACAGAGAATAGATAACAGGGTGAGCATTACATTGAATTTTAAAATAGAGACTGTCTTCTGCCTTTCTCCCCAGCAACACTTTCAAAGCCTACTTGCAAATTCCTGCATGAGTCCAAAAAATACTACAACATGAGATATTTACTCCTGCTCGTGAAAATACATTTATCAAAATGATCATGTGGGAGCATTACTACAAACACATCCCATGAGGAGAATTCACTGTAAGTAGGACACAGAGGAAGAAAATTCACATACAGTTTCAGCTGTGATATCTGTCTCACACAGTCAACACTTGAACTTCAGACAGCTGTGTATGTTCAAAAGCCAGGAGCACGTTCCTTCCTCTCCAGTTAGAGACTTGCACAGAAATACCAGTGAAAGGTTTTAGCATTTTGGATTAGAATTCTCCATGTTAAAGGGCTATGGTATTTAGCATAAAGGATTTGAATAAGACAAGAAAGTCTGATGAAAACAATCAGTCTTTTTTAACACGTAATGTTGATACCTCGGAGAAAAAAAAAAATACATCGATGGTTACAAAAATTGATCTGGGTCAGCAGCATCTCTTCTCCTCTCAAACACTCTTGAGGAGTGTCGCCAACTGGAAATTCAGGCTATGTTATGCCACAGCAACTGCAGAATAATTCTGTAGCCTGTAATCGGGTCTTAATTCTCACCCTGGGCTTAGAGGTATGCTAATGTAGTGTGAGAGCAGGCAGAAAGTATGTTGGTGGCACTTTTGACAGCTAATTAGCATATTTCATTGCTGTATTAAGTTTTACACTGTGCTGCATAAAGTTAAGTTCAGAAGTGTGAACTTGGTGTAGGAGAAAAGTGTATTCTCTTCCCTGACCTGTACACTGCATTGGAAGAACCTTTGCAGGATTATTTAGTATACTATCAACAATAATGGTATTTATATGTAATGTTTTCACTTTCTTGTGTTTCTATATGCATGGATAATTATAAAATAAGACAGACTGCTAACGTGAAAACAAGAGAAACACAAAAATCAATTTTGTTTTTGTGTTGAATCCTAGAAGGAGGTTTTGAAAGGCACAAATGGCAGGCTTGTCTAAATCCCATGGAAATTCGCTTGTGTCACATTTATGCCTTTAAAAAATCTGCAGCTTTGGATTACAAAAGACAGAATTAAACCTAAAGGCTTTGATCCTAATGCCATTTTTACACAGCCAGCAAAGATATGCAGTTTTTCAAAGAGACATCTACTTATTACAGAGTATGCTCAGGTCATAAAAACTCATGCACTTAATTCATAACAGAAAGTGGTTAAGGATCTGTGCACAAGGGAGCAGACTTGGTAGAGAAATTCAAACGAAGGCAAGTAAAACCGTGTGAGGTACACAAGTTTTGAGGACCCTGACATTGTGTATTGCAAGATTTTAATATCATTTAAGTCCTTTATAGGCATCAGTAACCATTGCTCCATGGAGGTAAATCTAAATATTCCAGTATGACCCTTTATTATCACCTTTACAGAAAGAAAAATCTAGTCGAAATCTCACTGACCAACAGATCATGGTAGGTTTAAGCTTCAGACCTGTGAGGAACAACAGCAAGCTCCACATTGTAACATTTTTTTTCTCATTGTTTCCAAATCTGTTTGAAAGGACAATTGATAAAATTGTGTGAAACAAACCTTAAAATTACCAAGGTAACTTTTGAGAAAAGATTGCTATCACAGTTGTTTTTGTTATTAATTGTACAAGAATGTAATATATGTATACTTCTTATCAATTATGCTTATTCAGTTATCAGTTGTGATGGTTCAGACTTGGCTCCCTGCCAAATGCCCACCCCCCCAGTAGCAGCCCCTCTCCTCCCCCCTTTCCACTTTCCCCAGGGCAAAGGAAAAAAAACTCTGCAAATTGAAGAACCCGAAAATCAAGCTAGTTACATATAAAAAATATATTTTATGTATATTACAGTTAAGATGCTATGCACACAGCAAATGGGAATCCAAACACCCCCCAAAGGGATAGGGAAAGGGGAAAAAGGGACAAAAGGAAACAAAAAGGGACACCGAATAGATATGCGCAATCAAACCCGAGAACCAGTAAAATAACTAGTAAAACAAATCTCACCACGTCCCTTAGAAAGCAGGATTGGCAGACACGGCCAGCACTCCCCAGGCCTCCACGTGGCAGGTCAGTGGATGCTGCAGCCTCAGCCTTAGATAAGCGAGACCAACGCAGGGACCCACTGTTCCCAAACTCCGGCGGGAGAGAAGAAGAACGAAGGCCGCTCCTCCCCTCTTATTTATACCACGATTTATGTAAAAATCGTATGGAATACTGGGAACACTGCCCCTTCCTTGGTTACAAACTGGTAACCAGGGAAGGCCTAGATTAAAACCACCACATCAGTGAAGCTCATTGTGCCAAGAATGTTGGCTTTTTTATAGATGGCACGGAAACAGGTTATAGCACACACACAGCCAGAAGAAAAGTATTTACAGCCCATCTAGCACCCACCCAGAAACATCTATGTAGATAAATAACCACCATCTTAGATTACAACAGTGTGGTAGATTGGACTCAGCCCTAAAATGCACCGGAGCTGACAGCAGCTGTGGGGTCAGCCTGCCCCTCTCTGAGCACTGCAGATGGAGAGAGAAGAGCGTGCATGCACTGGTGAGGAAGAGCTGGAGCTGGCGGGGGAAGGCAGCACGCTTCCTTCCTTGTGTATGCACACACACCCTGGCATACACTCGGCAGCAGTGCCCTAACCTTCAGTTCACAGAGCTGCAGTCATGTCAGGAAAAACAGAGAAAAATAAACAAAGTTTAGGGACTGACCTGTTTTTCATTTTCATCCTCCAACCTCAGCCTGTCCTCAATGCAGTTCCTGGCCTGAAGGAATGCCTTCCTCTGAGCCCTTTCTGTCAAAATCCTCACAAAGACCCCATACAAATTTACACTGACAAAAAGGATTGCATTGGCCACGAGCTGTAAGAAAAAAAAAAAAAAAAAGAAAAATAAATGAATATTTTAAAATACATATTTTTTTTTATATTTTTACTCAGTAAAATATATATTCAAAACAAAACAAAATTGTTTGAAAATTGTACCTTGCTAGCCATGTCACTGATAACCCTTCCTGCAGTAAAACAATTACAGCAGCTACCACAAATTCGGGCAAGCAATACTGATAACAGAGAATTTTGCATCTGCTGAAGTTAATTTCTCTTAGCTTGTCATTTTCATTCAGCATCATTTCTTTCATCAACCCATTGGCAGATCTGTAAACTAAGGAGAGTAGTATCCTCAGTATTTGTTCAAAATACCCAGAAAACAAGAAAATGGAGATTATATAATAAGGATATTATTGGCCCTTTTTTTATACTTGAAAATCAAGGCACTGACAACCCTGTGACTGAATCAAAACATATGCCTAGGTACTCCAAGTTTTCATGTTGCACAGTTTGCACTTGGAAAATCTCCTTCTTTCCCCCTATTTGTACTGTTAGCAACCATATTGTATTTTTTGAGAAATTGTCAAAAAAATATTGTTGATGCCATCCTGCAGCAGACCTCTCAGAATGTGCTGAGTCCTTTCAAATGATGGCCCTTGCTACAAACCAAGCCCCACCACAGTACTATAATCAGGGACCATGAATTACATTGGAGCTACTTCTATGAACAGTGATTTTATGAAAGACACATAAAAGAGCTCAATTGTCCTTCTGGTTTTTGTGGTTTTTTTAAAATGTTTATTTTTTACAATATGTGATGAAGTTACTTAACTAACCCAAATAACTCAGCAGTGGTTTGTACACAACCTCCCTATTTAAGGCAATCTTGTTCATGTTTCTCAGCACATCTCTAATGTCTGAAACATGTCTTCAGGTTGTAACTTCTGCAGTGCAATGTTTACTTAGTAAGGAGGCAATAAGGCCTGTTTACCTAATATCTTTTCAGACCCATTCTCCTCATTTACTGCTGTGACTATCACAGCATCATAAGGGTTCATGGGACTCATGAATTCCAAACATTCAGAAGTGAGGAAGCACATAAATTGACCAAGAGTGAGCCTAATTAAAGACATTACAGCAAGTAACACAATTTATGTTAAATTTCTATGCACCTAAAATAGTTCAAAAAGACCATTTAACTGACATTTCTTTTCTTGACTAATTCAGGGTATCGATTTTAAGCTAGTACATCTCTGTTGCATGATCTGCTAGTGTGAAATGGAGACCACCGTGCTTGTATTCCCAGGAGAGTGACTCAAGCTGTGCCAACAACGCAAGCGAACTTTAAGACAAATAAAACTACTGACACTGTGGTAGAGAATGATTGCCAGCAGGACTAGAGTTGAAGGCTTGATGGTAAGCCAATAATGCCAATATGGTAAGCAAAGATCCAAAATGGTATCCCTGTTGTTTTTGGAGAGACTTTGGAAAATCTTTCACTCTACAAAAGTAAAAAGGAGTTTTCTGTTGTGTGCAGATAATGTTAGCATGTATCTCCACCTCTTGTGATTTCAGAATAGTGTGGAGAATTGAAAGACTCATTCTGGGTGAGTTCTCCAGACCTTCATGGATTCACAAGTCCTCTAACTCTTATCTTCAAACCTGCTTGTTATTAGTTAATAGGACATAACAACAAATTCCATGCAAACACTCTCAACCAGCACAAAATCAAAAAATGACTTCTGACAACAAAAGGAGCTGTGCCTAGCGTTAGTGGGTTTTGTCTTCTCAGTTATACAAAAAGAAACAATTATCTCACGAGAACTAATAGCAGTGAAGAATGGTGTTACAGCTTCCTCCAAAGACTGGCAAAATGCAGGTTCAGGTGTCATGAATCAGATGAATTTTAACCTACCAGCCTCATATACCGGTTACTTACGTGCCACTTCTGATAATAATACGGATAGTAAAAGTTTGAAGATGAAATGCAACACACAAGCATATTACTTCATGATACACACTGAGCATAAACAGTCTGCAATTCCTATTCTGCTTGATTTTGCTTGGTCACGGAGACCTGTTTGAGATATATCAGTTTTCATCACAAGATAAAGCCTACTGAAATGAAACGACTGTAGAAACTCCAGTAGAATCCTATTTTTAAAGACATGAATGTGGCCACACTCACCTTATCCCTGCATTTTATCGTGCCAAAGTGTAGTGACAACACTGTATTTTAAGTCTAATTCTTAGAAGCACAACGGAATAAAAATAGAAAGGATTTGTAAGGTTATATTCAAAGGCAATGAAGAGAGCCCACAGAATAAACAGACTTGACTCTGTCATATCCAAAACAGCTGTGAATAACACAGGGTGACACTGTCTTTATGTACTGATATCAGAGTGGCTCAAGACATAAATAATTACTTCTAGAGACAAAAAAAAAAAAAAAGTCAACTCAGTTTCTGGTTTTCAACTAGAAGCAATAAAAGACCATATATTGTAACAATCTGCCAGCTGTTGTGAGACTATCATTACGATTTCACTCCAGCAACAATGATCACCTGGACTGGGGGTAACCAGTAGGTGGGCTCCTGCCACTTTCAGACTCAGCAGGCTAGGTCATTTTCCGATATGCTTTGAACAGTTTAAGATAAAACAGAGGCTTAGCTGTCAGCTCTGGCCTGCAGGGAATCAGCAAAGTGATAAAGTAAAGTAAAAGATTCATAGATTTCAAAATGTGAGAAAAGAAAGTAGGGCAGACTGTCTCCTGAGGTAAGAGTTCCTTCCCTCCACAACCCGTTTCTACTTAATTACTATTTTTCCCCCAGTTACAAACTACATACTACCCTTTCTCTCTAGGTTTATCAGATGTGTGCCATTTTCCAGTCCCTTCCATTTTAATATGTAAATATGTACCACTATATCTACACATATACACACCTCTATATATATACCTTTCCCACATTATGTGCCATAATTCCATGAAAGATTATGAGACTTGCTGTTAAAACTAAGGACCTTTAAAGAGGTACAGAGGCATACAGAACTGCTGAAATATCAAGGAATTTAATTTTAAGTCATTCCGTTATTTACTATGCTACTGCTTAGAAAGAGTACTCTTCAGGTTTCACCACCACCAGAACCATCAAAGAAACAATTTCCTTAATGCAGCACAGTGATTCAAAGACAATTTTATGCAGTAAAGTTTTGAACAGTGTTACTCTCTCAATCCATAATGAGATTACAGGTCAGCCAGAACAAAAAAAAAAAAAAAAAAAAAAAAAAAAAAAAAAAAAAAAAAAAAAAAAAAAAAAAAAAAAAAGCGCAGTATCAGGGTCACGAAAGCCTGTTTCTAAAATTATTTTCTTTTATTTATTGTTGGCACTGAACACTATATTGTGCATTCTGCCTATCTACTGTCCTTCAGTATGAACATCCTGAGCTTTAAGCTTCTCTAGTCCTTTGCAGGGTACACTCACTGCCACTGGATGAGTTTTGGCGTGGTTCCTCGTGTGAGGGTGTTACCAGACTTCCAACACAGCAAATTCTTGTAGGCTGCCTAGTCAGTGAAGAGGGACTGGGAGCTCCAGCAATTATATCAACCAAATATCTGTTTCTTCTGGTTTTTTTCTCCATTAATTTTTTAAGTCTCTGTTTTGAAAGGGAATTTAAACTGTGCCATATAGCAACACCCATCGAGGAGTGAGAAATAATTCTAGCAGTGAGACACATGTAACGTGCCCATTCATACACAGGGCTTGAGGAGTTCAATTAAAGATTTTTTTTATTCCCCAGATTCACCTCCCACTTCTTGAGCCTCCCTTGGGATTAGTTGAGAGACTCTTTGAAGGGTTTTTTGAAACTTTTTTGTCTGTTCCAGATAGAATTTATTCTCCACTTCTTTTTCTTTCTAAGTAGGAATTCTGATACGTGCATTCATGCTTTTTCTCAAACAAATGGTGAAAAATTCTTCTACAATATTTTTATTTATTGTTTGTCTTTTGAGAGGACTCTACTTACTTAGCAGACTAATTCTGCTATCAGGTAAGCAGATGAATAGTAGATGGTTCAAACCTGAAGCTGGTTTTCATTGGGGAGTAGCTTTCTGTTTGTATCAAATAATTGTCTCAGCAAAATGTAGTTATTTCACAGAGGTACAGACGACTCTTGAATCTGGTGAAAACTTTATTACAAAGTGTTATCATATGGATATATATTGAAAAGCTCAAGTGAAGTAGACTAAATGAGAAATATAAATTATTAACAAAGGAAACTTCAGGAGACTCCCTCAGAATTTCACTGTGTATTCTAAAAGGTGGACTTGGGGTGTGAGTAAGACTGAGAAGGGATTTCAATAGTTACTGCTCCCAGAATTATAATTTAGTGGCTAATATCAATATTGGGTTTATTCTGAGAAGCCTGAGTTCTCATGACAACCCACGAAGCAGAACGGAATATGTAGGAAATTATCCAGGTAATTTCCAGGTAATAGTTGAAATTTGCAGAAAAAAACAAGATCAATGCAATTTCTGTATGTCTTAGCCCTCAGATACCTGATAAGATGAGAGGTGTGCTGGGTCTGAATCCTACTTCCAGTTTTCTCTCTCAATTGAATTTTACTGCAAGTAATTTCTGTGCCACTATTTTTGTTCCTGTTATGCCGACAATTTAGGCATTCTGTCAGAATACTTTGAGATATGGCAATGAAATACATTATGTTAAAATATGACTGTCTGTTGTGAGGGATGTCTCTAAGGAAAGAGTTGGGAACAGCTTACAAAAAGGAGTCTGTGCTTCCATTATTAAAATCCTTGAAAAGCAAGGCAAGACCGAGCTCTTTATAAAAATCATTGTTATCATGAAAAAAGACTTTAAACAAAAGCAGTGTCTTTCTCCTGTTATGGAAAATATTACCATTAAGGTAGTGCTTTATTTACAGTGCAAGACTGTACAGAGGAGAATGCACAACTGCCTCTTGATCCTGACATGTTTTTTCAGTTTAGTAATTCATTTGGTCAACTCACTTTGAAA